TCTATATATAGTATTAGTTGATTATAAGTTGGTATTGGAGCGTGGTAGGAAATTTAGGATATATTTAGGCCGGTATTCAAAGTCAAATCTTATTTCAAGACCGTCTTAAGTAATCTTATTTCAAGACTGTCTTAAGGTGCGAATACAGTTCTGTGATTGGTTTATGACATTTTAAGACAGTACTTAAGATAATCTTAAATATAAGATCGGACTATAAATACCGGCCTATGGCCGAGATTATTCTTCTCATACTCGATCGCAATTGGTCAATTTCTACGACTTACGACTTCTATTGTAGACCCCACTTTAAGGAGCCATTCACAATGGAAAATTGTACACTATAAGAGTAAAAAACTGACCAGTTATACTGGATTTTTACAAGAATAATCGATTGTGATTGGTCAATTTCTTTCTGCTGCGGCGTACGATTCTCCGTTGTAAATAGCTCTTAAATCAAAGTCGGGCCATAACTAAGGTTTTGTTAAAATCCTACAAGAGAGAGGAATATGTTTTCAGTCTCTCTCTCTTTTTGTCTATTTCTTCTTAATCCAACCTAACTTACTGTGATAGGAGTATTGTGATTGGATATTGTGTGAGATTTGACATGGTGAACCAATTAAAACTGGCTGTCTTATGGCCAGACTCTGGGTGCATCCAGTACTGCAATCATTCATTGAACTCTTAATGAGCTTTTGCATCCGATTTTTCTTTAGATCTAAAAGTATACATCAATCGGATACAAGAGCTCACTGAACGCTCAGTGAGCGGCCGCTCACTGTTGTAATATTGGATTATTCTCGGATTCAAGGGTCTCTTGTTACTATTATTGAATCAATGGGCGTGTTTAGCGGAAAAAGCGCGCAGCGAGCAATCAGCGATTATTAGTTCTTACTGTTAGATCCCTAAATTTAGATTACATTGACCAATTTAGATTACCAATTACATTGACGAATTACTCAACTATTGTGCAACTGTTGAGCTGCTGAATGCAACCATTAGTTGCGTTCAGCAGAGAAAGCTGCTTTGAAACTGTTGTAAAATTCGTGAATCTGATTGGAGTATACTCTTAATTTTGGTTAAATCCAAGAGCATGTATCAATCAGATTCACGAATTTTACACAGTTACAAAGCAGCTTTCTCTGCTGAACGCAGCCATTGTTTTTGTAGGGTAAAGGCCATCATACACAAAATTACATAGAGTCGCCATATTGATGATTGATGCTTAATATTTGATACTCATTGGTCCATACGATCTTATGCTATGCATATACGTCTATATAATTTTGTGTGTGATGGCCTTAATGGCAACCTAGCGCCACATAGCGATGTCAAGCTGAAACTTTACCAAAAGAGTTCGGTTAAGTTTGGTTCGTATCTCGGCTAAATATGATTCGAATCTTGACTATGTAACAATGCATTTATGCTGCAATTCTAAATAGACGAGTAAATCGTATAATTGTAAAGTCGTAGCTTACGAATCAATAATCTACTTATAAGTTTTTACGAGTCTTACGAGAACAAGTTACGAGCTTTAC